ATTCCGTGCACGTGAACGCCACATTTGTGATTGTCCCCTAGGGTTCTATACTTCTGACCGAAGAGAAGAGTTCACACGACCTCTGCCTGGGTTGTGCCTTTAAAATATTTGTAACTCTGTTTTCAGAGCATCGTTCCACAAATTTGGAAAGTGGATTCGGTGTTAATGAAAATATGTATGTTGATATAAGTTCTATTACAAGTGGGCAGTTGGATGTGGAATCCTACCTTCGTGAAGAATTTAGTTTTTTTTTGTTTTTCAATATTCCTATTCCACAGTCAACGTCCTTCACCGATGCAATGCCGCTGGGTCCAACCTGTCCTTTTAAGAGGGAAAAAACTAGAGTCTCCTTGGAACGAATGATAAATCGGTGATGTTTCGCCATCACCAAGAAATTTTTCCTAGAATACAGAAGTAGGCCATTCAACATGTAAAACCCTCTACTATTGATTGATGGAACGAACCTTGTTGATGGTTTAAGACACGGCTGAAAATATTTCTCATAACTACACTAGTGTAGAGTGTTTAGCACTTCTTCATTAGAGGGGAGCTTACCGCACCACAAACACAATGCCATGCAGTAGCGGATGGAAGTTTAGAAACTTCTTTCCGCGAAAAAGTTTCTGACATAACGCAAACAATAGACAACGAATCTCTCCAAACTCACGTAATATATGCAAAATTAAGCGTAGAATACGATCTGCAACACAGGACCTCAAAATTGGGAATCGTAATTGAATACGATTTTTTATAAGAAACGGCGCGTCAAGTTTGGAAACACCTCAGTTTCCGACCGAATTCAGCACAATGCTTCTGAAATCCATATAAGAAACAGTAAGCTTTTGGGTAACTTAAAATTCCTATGCTACCATCGTTTTACTGACATTTAATAGATTAGAACAACATTTCAGGAATTCTGAACCGAACCCACACTTCTAAAATGAATCAAATTGTTTGGTAGGATTCTTTACTGGGATATGCAGAACTCAAATAGATTCAGATCTTGACTTGGTCGTTTCCTAACAGCTTTTTTTGGGTTCAGGAAGGCGGCAGTCAGGAGGTAGGCCTGCACCGATCAACGTTGTGACAGGGGATTCATATTTTCGCCTTTTTCTGAACGGCGCCGTTGTACAGTGCGTTGCAAAATCATAGGACACCCCCCAAAAACATGAATATCTCGGCTTCTAGAGAACGTCGTTCATCGAAACCTATAAATCAGAATCGCCTTCATGAAAAACCTATACTCACAGTAGTTTACATCCGACATATTCACAAGTAT